GTATTATTTGTCGACTTAAAAGTACATGGCAATAAAAAATGTTTTTCTTTGTTGTATCGTTTCTTGCATGAATTAGTGTTTTGTATTCTTGTATCGCTATGATCAAAAAAGTTCAGAATTGTGAACATTAACTAATTTACCTCTGCTAAAAGGGGAATGAAGCACATTTCCTAAATAATATTTTGTGAATTGACCTAGTGATATTTATTTAAGATTTTTTATTCAACATTTTCTGATGTATGAAGTAATGTTGCAGCACTATCAAGGAAATATGCAAATTGAGGTGACATTGTTAAACAAAAGAAGATAAACATGGGACCTTTTTGTTTCATACACAAATGCAAATGAAGTTAGTTATTTTTTCATAGCTGGGCAAATCAAGCAAACAATGGAGGTTTGCTCAAGGAAGAGCTAATGAGATGATCAACAGGGTCCATCTGGTGGTTAATATGTGTAGTGCAGTTCAGGTATCTGCAGTTTTTTTTACTGTTGCATTAAAAACATCAGGTGCGCAGCAGCATCAATTCTGTTGAGTATTTTGTTGTCAGATGTAGTCCAATAAAATGTATTTATCCATTACATGTGGCCTACTGTGGGCTGCATGCCACACTCATTGAATTCTCTGTGATTTTCACTCTGGACTACACATGATACCTTAATAGGTTTTTGATGTTCAAATGGAAGTCAACATGATACATTATTCATACAGAGAGTCTTGCACCATAGACTGAATATTTCAGTGTTATGCTTGTTTTACATTATCTGGTGCCATGAATTATGCATCACAGGAGTCTTTTAATTTTCTAATATAAATAAATGTAAATAAAATATAAATCTATATTTACATAAAATACTTTATTGATCTGTCAATATATACTGTATTAAAATTGAATATTGTAACAATAAATGAAGTGCTGTGGATGCTTATGTTCTAACCAATGATATTTGTCCTGTTTCCTGTTATGCAGAACAGTATATAAAATTCCAAGTATGATGTTTTTCTGAGTTTGAATCCGTTTACAGAATTAGTTTTAATTTCTTCTTGTTTTAGGAAGCCTTCCACATGTGTATAACTCACAGAGTCATGTTTGTATGTCAAATATTTATATTCAGAGTTGTAAAACAAAGTTGATATAACATTTAAAATATTTGCAATGCTTTTTTCACAGGTGTAGTCAAGGTGGAATATGGAGATGTGTCCCCTCGCAAGGCATTAAGAGAAGCCCTGAAGTGTAAACCTTTTTTGTGGTATCTCGAAAACGTGTATCCAGACTCGCAGATCCCAAGAAGATACCACTCACTTGGTGAAGTATGATGTCTTTAAATAACTAGTGTTCATTGTGCTTGCAGTTTTCACCAATTCAGGGTATTGGATGCTTAATGCGAAAATAAGCATTACATGACAAAAACATATCAAATATAATGTTATAGCTGATGCTGTAGCTCATGGGTAAGCACTTGCATTTTTTAGAACTAACTTATATATTGACTGCATTAAATGGCAAATGCATATGTTGCAAGATTTAGAAAATTAACCAAGGAGCTTCTAGCGTAGTTAACTACAGTACAAGGCTAAATGCTAAGTTAAATACAGTCTGTAAAAATTCAGTTAAATGCACTAGATTGGTCTAGTAATTTAATAGTGAACAGACTTTTAGTTCATCGTGGAGGCTATTCAGTGCACAAATGAATAACCTCTGAGTTAAAGCCATGCTTCTTTCAAAGCCATATTCATTAATTTTTATATTATTCAATTATGAAAAGGATGATAATGGCATAATAAGATGGTGATAAAACATAGTGCTTTCCTGAGTTTAAAAAGTATATTACAATCTGATTTAAATGGTTCATTAATTTAAAAAGTAATTAAACACGAATCCATGAAACATGCAAGAATTTCTCACCCTGCCGGTGTTTCTGATTTACATACTAATTTGCACAGCTAAATATTGTTTCTCATTAAATGTGCACCATTATGAAACAGTTCAGTTGAAAAATTAGGAAAATTGGAAAGGTTGATATTGTTATAGAAAGTCAATTGATAGAAAACCATTCCTTGGACTGTGTCAGTCACCTTAATAATAATGAATAGTAGGTGAGCTGTAGGTTTTGGTGACTTTTAAGAGGGTGTTGCACCAAGATACTTTTATATTAGCTTTCTTTTAAATAGTGGTTAAACACTAAAAACAATAAAGTAATTTTTTTTCTAGGATCTTTTTGTGTCTTGTCTAATTTCATTTTTCTCCTGTCACTTGTACCTCTAATGTTTACTATAGAGCTATGATCAAAAAAGTTCAGAATTGTGAACATTAACTAATTTACCTCTGCTAAAAGGGGAATGAAGCACATTTCCTAAATAATATTTTGTGAATGATAAATTTATATTTTTAATACTGTTCTTTTGTGAAATGGCAACATTATGGAATATACTGTATGCATGACCAGCCAGAATGTGCATTTAGGCTCTTACTGTCATGTCTTCAAATGGTACAGAGGTTGTCAATGTCAGAGGCATGCAGCAGAATACATTATATAGGAAAAGATGATAGATTATTGGAAGAAAGCAACAGAGCAAGATATTCAACATTGGCTACCAACATTTCATTCTGGTGCAGTATCTCCAGATCTGTAATGAACTGCATATACATTCACAAACCATAGAACATTTAAGACAGTGTAATGGATGTTTGAGTTATATTTAACAATGTATGTTCTTGGAAAAAAACAGGCTGATGTTTCCATTAGATCTTACAATCTGTTTTAAAATGAATTAAGTTTTTTTGTCGAAGAAAACTCTTTGTCTCAGAAAGTTTCTTTATTAATATTGTTTTTAAAGAGAATTTTGAGAAGAGATCTAATTTTACATTCACGTAATAAATATCATACCAGCTGAGCTTATGCATCTTTACCCCATCTTCACCAATGCAGCAGCCTCCCTAGTTCATTCCTCACCAGTGAGGGGGATTTGGCAGCCCTGACCTTATGGCCAGACTGTCATTTCCTCAGCAAGGCGAGTTAACACTGAATAATAAATATATGATTCCTATAAATTGTGATGTCTTTTCTCATTAATTTTAATTTGACAAAACTTCTAAAATGAATGAATAGCCTGGGACTTTCATCTGAGATACTGTTTCATCTCTCTTTCGCTTTATCATTGTTTTCCATTTTCAGTAGCCATCTTGACCCAGTGGTACAAGCTAGTGTCTGGAAGCATTTCACTTGCTCCAGAATATAGCCACCACTGTCATTATAAAGTTAGTCGGTCTTTTCAAGCATCTGCATTATGAAAACAGTGAAGCAATGAAGTTTGGTTCATGTACACAGAGAACTGCAGAGAACACATTCCCATGGATTGGGAACGACTGTGTACAACAGAGGGAGAGAACATTGCAGGTTTTTACTAGATTCTAAACTGTAATTGACAACATGCCTACTGGCATCTTCTGGTGCATGTTATCACTGTCAGTGGAATGTGTTTTCCATGGTCTCATTCATATAATGAACAATTATAAAACGGATAGTTCCGGTCCTGAAATCTGATTGGCTGACGCACCTTCGAAGCTGTGCTATATTCTTTGATATACGCACACCACGGATGGAATTTTGACTTTTTACTGTGTGATAAAGAAATAGTGCGCTGACCGATAAATAATGGCCAATCAAATAAATCGCATAGGCTTTTGAAGACTACTTAGCATAGATAAGAAAGCTTGGATTCTCAGGTATTTGATACATGTGTCTTCTTCTGCTGTCTTTGTTGTGCTTTAGAGGATCCGTGTGATTTTTTGTGCTCTCGATGAGCGATAGTGTTGTGTAGTTTAAATCATTTTCATTCATAGAATGAAAATGATCATGGCGGAGGGCCTAACAACGCCTGTTAAATGTGACTATATTCACTATATAACACGGCCTCTCGTGCCTTATTGCTTAAATATTAATGCCCCATAGTGTACTGTTTTAATTCGATATTTTTTTTAATATGCCAGTAAATTTTTATAAATGCCTGGTTAGCTGAAAATACAGTATGTTGTTATTTTTAGGAACATAAAAAGGTTGCAAAGGAGAGGAGGTCATCTGGTTTATCTAGCCCGTTTGGTAGGGAGTGGTTAATTGATCCATGGATCTCATCCAGCAATTACTTGAAAGATACCAGGTTTATTTAGGTCATTTGTGAGGTAAATTGTTAACAACCTGTAAAAACAGAGATGTAGAGAGAAGATGAAAATCTGTGCAATCCCAATCTTTTAAATGAAGCAACCTTCATCACTTTGTCTTCTGTGTAGATCAGGAATGTTGAAACTAACCAGTGCTTGGACAACATGGGAAGAAAGGAAAATGAAAAAGTAGGCTTTTTTAACTGCCATGGAATGGGTGGAAATCAGGTAAGAATATAATTACCTTTAAAGTCTTATATGTTGCAATACGTACATATGTGTCCGACTTCCCAAGATTACAGCATTGGATTTCAGATTGCTGGTATGCTTCTAATCCCTGAGACATCATAACGTTGTTTTGTCAGCAGTGTAATAATGTACTGTAATTAATTTATATTCATAATTTATTTAGGATTTGTAACTACAGGAAGCACACCATTACATGTTGTTGTTCAGTATGACATAATCAAAAATTACATTATCTGAAATAAATGGCTAAATTTCTACTTTATGACTGGCACTCCCTCGATGACAAAAGGAGATTTAAAGGAGATATATAGAATCCTTCTATTGCTGGTCAGATAGTAAGCTTTTAAGATTAGGTGACAAAGACAAACACACATGGCATTTAAATTTAATGAAGTACTGAGTTCAAACCATGATACATATCAGTGTCTACTATGAGCAGTTACTCAATTTATTTTCTTTTCGCAAAAACCCAAATCTGGATTGGCGACAAATTGTAATTCATCCTGTCAGACACAAAAAAGATTCAACCCTTCAAACTGACCTTAAAAGCCCATTTGAAGTTTTATTGATATGAAATTTTTTCCATTTTTTAAAATGTAACATTCTCAAAGGTTTTTAACAACTGAAATATAAAATATGAAAAGAATCGTCACAGTATTATTTGTCGACTTAAAAGTACATGGCAATAAAAAATGTTTTTCTTTGTTGTATCGTTTCTTGCATGAATTAGTGTTTTGTATTCTTGTATCTTAAACATTAATCACCAGGAAGTCCTGTAATATTGGTTTCTTTTGCTGTGATCTTGCCAGATAAACCTTTTATTCTAGAAGAGAAATGAATCTGTTCCATATGAATCATCACCAGAACTAATCAGATATGAAATGAAGTGCAATTTAATATGTAGAGTATTTGTAATGACCCCTTTTCTCTTTGTAGTAGTGCGCCTCATGTCAAATTTAATCTATTTCTTTTTAATTGTTAAACGATTAAATTAAATTTGTTTTAATTTAATGTCAATTGTATTGTTTCCCTCTTAAAGTGTAGCTCTTCTATTCAGAACCTCTTTTAACATTTGATTTTGTTTCCATTGCTTATTTCCAATTGTCAAATGTACAGATTAAGGGGCAGCACTTGATTCAGGAACCACAGGATATGTCATCCAGTCAACACTAATCTATTATTATTTAATAATAATATACAGTAAATTAAAGAGACATAATGGCTACTGAAGACATACTGTAAATGAGATGTCTGAGACTATATGACACATAGTTTAGACAAGTGAATTTTGAGACAAGATTTGATATGAGCTGAGAGATCATTCCACAGCTTTGGAGCAGCACAACAGAAAGCACCGCCTTAGTGTTCAGAACCCAATTCGTGGAACTGACAGAATGTTAGAGCACATGTGTAGGTGTACAGGGAGTTAACAGTTCCCTAACGGAGCCAGGCGATAAACTGTTCAGGCCCTTAGAACATCAGTATTTTGAATTTTATTCCAAAATTCACAGGGTGTCAGTGCAAGAAAGCTAGAACAGGTAATAATGTGCTCATGCATTTTAGTTTTACTTAAGATCCCAGCAGCTGAGTTCTGAACATGCTGCAACAGGTTTCAGTAAGCACTGCAATATTGCAGCAAGCAGTGCATTTCAATTATCAATCTTAGGAAGGATACAATCATGCTTTAGCTTTTGTGCACCAGATTGAAAGAGATGTGAAAGAGAGGTGAGAACAATGTTATGAAGATTAAACAATGACACCTTTTCAATGTGTGAATGTGGCCTTCAGATATTTAAGGGTGGGTCAAAGCTGACCCCATCATTCCTTGACCTCATTAATGGACTGATTCCAGGACCATCACTAGTCAATTGTAAGTTGTTGGTCAATTAAATAAGTAACTAAGTAAGTTGAGGGCTGGATATTTCTGCTTCAAATCATTTCTAAGTTACCTAATTGAATATATCACCTCCAATTCTTTAGATTTTAAATTTAGAAATCTAAAGATTTGGGATTTGGGCTCTCCAAGTGCCGAGTTGGGTGATATAAAGTAGATACTGAAAGGAATGGGATTTAAACAATGACAAAAAAGTCTCAGTAATGCTGTTCTTAGTTCTTAGTCAGCTCTGACATGTTTAAGTGCGTATGTGAATGCATATAACAATACTAATGTTAAAAAAAATGTTCAAAATTATATTGTGTCATAAATAAATGTCTACATGTGTAAAGAGTATTGTAATGGTCACCGTTTCCCTGAGAGATATTTGGCTGGGAAACAGACGAGGACTAGTGTGGCTATCTCTGGTACTGGAAGGCCCTGTTTTGGAAAGGAAGACAAGGGTAATTGGGGCTGGAACTGCTTCTTTCCCTGGTAAAAAATACAGTTCCTCTGTATTCTAAAATGCTCAACCTGTACTTCAGTTCTTAGTTCATTTAGATGTGGCTCCCATGTAAATAGTTAGCAATTGGTTGGTTGGTTCTCTGCACATTGGTGTGTTGGAGTCTAACATCACACTACAATATATTGGTCTAATTACAATTACAAAGATCATCATCACTTTCGTAAATCCATAATGTTTGTATTAGTGAATGTGAGGCAACACTCTTAGTTCTTGAATAAGTAAGCCTGTGTAGTAGCCTACAGAGTTAAATGTTATTTTAATATTAATGTTTTGTGTGACTTTTAATGGCCTAAGATGGCCTTTTATGATTTAATTGTAAATGACAGTGACAGTTTCTTCATATTATACAACATTGTTTGGTTTTGATTAAGTAAAGGTTAATATGAGGGCATAGCTGCAAAGAAAATCTAACATGCATCCAGAAAGAGCTTTCCAGTACTCTGTGACAGGTACTGTGAACCATGGAGGATGAAATGTCATGTAGCAAGAATACATGTCAGTACAGAGTTGTAAGGCTAACCCCTTTATGTAAATGTTTTTTTTTCTGCTTTTGTTATGCCTTTGGAATTTATGAAAATAAAATATTCCAAAAATGTGCTTTGTGGGAAACCTGCATAGTTTCTGTCCATGAAAATAAATAGTCACACAGAGCAAATATTGAAAGGATGAGAAGCATAATTTTCTTGATATAGAGTGACATTCTCATTTAATCCATAAATCTTGTTTATCAGACTCTTGATAAGACCCCTGTCTGTAGAGATCACATTCCTTTTTGTGAACAACACTGTCAGGTTTTTCTTTAACCAATCGTATGTGACTAAAATATAAATACAGTACTACCAAAACGCAGAAAGAAAGCCAAATATTTGCATTCCCATTAACTTGAATAGCATTAAAATATTACTCTTCTATATATTAGTAGTATTTATGCATGTACATTAAAATTATAACCTTATGCATATTAAGTGGGTATGTTTCAGATCTCATAAGTTGTGGATTATGAGGGCTATGAGATCAGATCAGGGTTCAAGTGACTGCCCTGGTTCTGTTGTGCACTTGAGTGATGTACTTTATCACAATCACTCCAGTCCACACAGTTGTGTAAATAGGGCCAGATTTTCTGAGTAGAAGCCCTGCTTTGGATTGGTATCTTATCTGGGTTGTCACATGGTTTCTTGACCACTTACTGTACCTACATGGAAACCAGGATATGTTCTAATCCAAGGAGCCATCGTGGCTCAAATATTAACTTTACCTACAGTATATATTGGTTAGTATTGCATATGTACTGTACTTCTACTGCATATAAGATAAGAGAGATAATATAAGATCACTTTAAGACACACAGGCACACAGATGGGGAGAGAGAAGCTTGGGGTCAGAGCACAGGGTCAGCCATACGGCGCCCCTGGAGCAGTTGTGGTTAAGGCCCAATGGAGTAGGATTCCTCTGCCAGTCTCAGGATTTGAGCCTGCAAATTTCCAGCCACAGGCGCAGATCCTCAACCACAGTGCCACCAATCCACCCGGTGGTGTCTTAAACATTTTAGAAAAAATTGAAACTTAGAATATATTTATTTTATGAACATCAGCGATTTACTCAAAACCTCCACTAGAGTTCTCTACCATTACCACAGTATTGACTGTTACTAATACAGATTAGTTTGGGTGAGAAGAATTGAGTTTATTATTTCACAGTCTTTAACTGACATTGATTAAAAAATTCAAAAACATGAACAATTCAATGTGATCTATACATGATATTTCCCAGTCAAATTTAATTGACTCATTGTCAGGTGTTCTTTGTTCTTAATTTAATTTGTTTCTCACTATAAATCCCTAAGCTTAAAAAAAAAGCTATTAACTTCAACTCCTTTAGGACTAACATTTAAAATGTTGTTAAAAGTTCAATAGAAGACAATAGTGTTTCTGTGTACAGGAGAAAAACTGAGAAAAGTCCGAAAATTGCTGTGCAATGCGAATATCTAAGACCTTTACAGTGTATTTCAAATTTAATAATTATTCTTCAGCAGTAATACATTATAATCATTTTGAGTAATACTCTAAAAACAAGTGTTGATTCTGTTTCAGGTCTTTTCTTATACTTCTGACAAGGAGATCAGGACAGATGATCTGTGTCTGGACGTATCTAGGCTTAACGGCCCAGTTGTAATGCTGAAATGCCATCACATGAGAGGAAACCAGCTGTTTGAGTATGATGCTGAGGTAAGAATTCTTGTATTTTTTCTTGAGCTAAAGTGGTTGGTATCCAGGACATAAAAATAGTCAAATACTAAAAAACACAGTAATTATATACATTTAATTTGGTGTAATGTGTTCATACGTAAAATACAAAAATGTACAGTATAAATTCAGTAACTGATTTTGAACCACATTGAATCAAATGTTTGACTGATCGCCAACCTCACATTACACTCACGAATGTCTTGTTTTTTTTGTTAACGAGAAACGTTTTCTGCCTAGTCGAATCCTGCTGTTAAACAGGTTTGAAAACCTAAGACTGGCTTCTGAATAGACGTTTTGAAGTTTAGGACCCTGTGCAATAATGATTGTGCTTCTTACTACAATTTGAGCACACCTATAAAATTGCATGTACTGTAAGTAGTTAATCATTTTGCAGATCAATTATGTATTTATTTCTAAATATACTTTTAACAATTAAATGTGTATTATCCACTGATGAAAAGTAATTATGTTAGCATGTTTGATATTAGAAGAAGATTAGGCATATTAAAATTAAATCAGTTTATTAAACAACAAAGGAAGAATGTCCAAATTAATTAAATGTGAATTTAAATCATGTCGGCAACTAATTAAGATCTCTAAATAAGGTTACACTTTACCAAGCGGGATCATGTGCATAGCTGTGTTAACTTTTCAATCAGTATTTTCTCATTTCTAATCACTATGAGTTATCCTGTTGCCAGAGAAGTGGAAGTTTTTTAAAAAGCACAAAAGCAGAGCCATAACTACATTTCAATTCTGCAAAACTGTTCTAATGAATTGAAACTACAGAGTAAGTGTTCATATTCTCCTTGTATAACACATGACTGTGTGACTATTGTACAGCAGTGTATTTTGTACCTTTTAGCATTGATTGTAAGTTTAACAATTATTACTGCAGTAAAAGTGTAACTCTAATTGTAACTGATGGTAGCTGCAAAATTGGTGCAATTGTAATTTCAGCATCAGTGCTGGTCTGTTAGTAACATACTTTTTTATATTACCGATAAATGCCATTGATGCAATATTACTAATTCTGCTGTACAAAATAATTTCAAAGTAGGTGCATTTTAGGATTTCTAAATACAAAACTTTACTCTTATTTTAATAAGTAGTAAAGCATTATAGTACTAAATGCAGCTTAGTTTGGACAACAGTCAACTTTTACAAATTTTTGTTTTTGGTAGGGCATTACAATTTTCTATTCCCAATATAATTGAAATAAAAATATGTTTTGAAATATGATTTTGAATCTAAAAGGTCTAATCATAACCTTTAAAAAAAAGGAAAATTAATTTTACTTCAGCCACTAGATGGAGCTGAAGTGCAGTTACACATGTAATAAATCCTTTTAGAGTTACTGTACTGTGCTATTAAAACATATTATGTGTTAAATATTTCATATTTTTACTTTTTAAAAATAATTTAAAAACATAACTGTGAGATTATTATTAAAATGTTCATACTTTTTAAAAAATAAACTGCCTCATAAAAGCTTCTTTGTGTATCAATCCAATTATTAAAACAATTATCTTTATTGGCAGTAAATCCTTGATGCAGTAGTATGTAGAGTTATACTCGGCAGAAGATGCATAAACAAATGATCATTTGACTTTGTGGCCAATTATTACACATAAATAGCATGGTTATTCTGTGCTCTAAAATAAAGACTCCCAACCAAGTTTTATAGGTGAGTTTAACCTTGTGAAATTGCTAAATCATCCAAAAAATGAAAAGTAGCAAGACAATTCTTTATTATTACTCTAGAACAGTGAAGCTGTTAAAAAAGGAGAACAAATTATTTGAACCTTTAACCTTCTTACCAGTGAGCTTGTTACATTTCTGCAGAATGTGTCTAATTAATCTTAGACCTCGATTTTCTTGACTTCACTGAAAGCAATAAACTGTTCCTTCAGAAAGTTAGCAATTTCTCATCCTTTTTAATGTATCATGGAATGCAAAATCCCAAATGATTATGCATGATTTCCAGATATTGTGCTGTACAGTAGATGATTCCAAACTTTTCAGCCCTGCATTTCTTACATTGATTTTCAAGGCTTCACTTTGAGTTATTGAGTCTTCCTTTCATTTTCTGCAGTCAGATTCCTTAACTATACCACTTTACTGGTGATTCTTTCTGGTCCCTTAAATTATTCAGAATTGCTACTTTTCCTGAGACCCTGCATGACTTGTTACTGGCTGAGCTGGCGTCACTGTGCCATCTGGGCAAGATCTCTAATCCCATCTGGAGTATAATTTTTGAACTAAATCTTTTTGTCTCGATCGTGTATAATGAAAGGAAGATGACACTAAAACAAAAGGGAGATGAGCGTTCAAATAAAAAGTGTGGAGATGCTCTTACTTTAAACAAAAAGCACTGTTCTATATGAATAGCTTAATTCTAAGTGTATAATCAATGATTAGATATTTAACTGGTTAACAAAAACATGTCCTTTTGAAACAAGATGCAGAAAGGGTTTCTTGATAGGGTACTGTATCAATCACACTGAAATATCACTTGAATATTCTAAATGCTTTGGAAACATTAAGCGAATTAAAAACTGTATTGATTTTTCTTTCTACCTCACATTCAGTATGTAGGAAAATGGGAATATGATTTTAAGGTAAGCTGCCTTTTGAATGGTTAAAAGGATGTACTTTATGCTTAAGCACAGTAGAGCTCTCCTGTGGCATAGACTCTGCCACTAGAGCACTCTCCCATTTACATTCAAGAAGTGTTTTGTAGATTTTAGAGCATTTCATGTTTTTGTGCTTTATTTATTTATATAGCACTTAATATTTTATGTTTAAATATTTCATGATTTAAAAGGGTTTGACACATCTTGCATAACTTAGTGTTTCTTGTCAGTCAAATTGTCTTTTTTCTTCTAACAAAGTCAAGTGTCCTTCAGTAAGATCTATACAGTATGTATTTGTTTTATTAATCTTAAAACTGGAGGACAAATTTGCTATAAATGCTTAGTGTACAAAGCCTTATCTTTGGTTAAAACGTTGTTTATCCGATCTGTTCATTTGGTGTTAGATTAGTAATGGTAGTACATTTCTAGTACAATATCATCGTAGACATCATGGTTCATGTTGTGGCATTATCTTGGAAGGTTACCTCTGTTTTTTATACTTATTTTTGTGTGAAATACTGTAAGTATAATTAAGTGATTGACAGCATAAGTCACCTCAACTGATTTGTGTTGATTGACTGGAAATGATTTTTTCTGGCAATATCATCTTGCTCATCAAATGCCTCTATATCTGTTTGATAAAAGAATACAGTAGATTTAGCACTTTCAGCATGGCCAAATAATTTTAAAACATTTTTTCTTAGGAAATATTTACAAAACTAAGGATATTGGTGGCATAAAATATTTGTGAATTATTGTTGAAACTTCTGAGAGAAACATGGCTTACTGTAAATATTTTAAGCATCATAATATATCATTTGGGGTGCCTATGTGTTAACTTGTACCATAAATCCTAACAGACCTCCCCCTTATCTTGTAGCTGTTGCCATATCTGCTAAGCTAATGTGCAATGCTCAGTGGGTCCTGGGGTATTCTAGCATTTTGTAAAATTAAATGTTTGCCAGTCATCAAGTATGTGGCTATTAACCTTACATATACTGTATATAGTATTAAATCTACACGAGACATCTGGCATCCATGTTTTTAATGCTACTCTTCTGAGCCTCTGAAAACAAGAAAGACACTCAGCAAGTACACACAGAATACTATTATGCTTCAAATGTTTATTGCAGGTTTTATTTTTTCTGACATAAACAATGCAAATTTAACAGTAATTAAAATCAACGCCTAATCTGATTTCCCCTGAGTTTATTATTCAATGAAGCTGAGGATCTGGCAACTATTGTCCTGTGGTCTGAGAATGAGTTGTTTGTTGTATTTTGTGCTGTGTGCTTTATTAGTACTTCCTGTGATTGCACTGTGTGTTTTCACTGGATCAATGGCTTTACAAACAAGAGAGCTACAGCAATAGTTGTGCGACTGTCTACGTTAGTCTCTTCATCAGGTTTACTTTTTGTTTTCTATTTCATTGCTTCATTTTTATCACACAGAAACACACTTTTCTTCACATCATCACCCAGTCATGTCTAACAATTAGCAAACTTGAGGATGGGAGTTACGGTCCTACTGTGGAGTATTGTGATAATAGTCCTTTGCAAACTTGGATTCTAAGGAACTACACAAGACTCGAAGTTTTTAGGAAGATCTTTTACAGTCCAACAGATTATTTTCTGTAACAGGTCTAAATACTTCCAGGTCAGTATTCTAGTCCTTGCCATTGTGTATTGTGATAATTTAGAAAATTAGTATGCAGGTTCTTAAAACCTCTTTAAACCTGCAGTACTACAGTATGTGTTGTTTTGTTGTTTTTACACATTTGAAGTGATGCATATTTTTTATGTGTTCCTCATGTTCCATCCACTTCCTGGAGTTCTTGCTGTAAGGAGATTACTGTTTTATATGTCTCCATGCAGTATACACCCCCTTCCAATGATGTCCCACAAATGATGTACAAAGTCAGTATTGTAAATGTTAAAGTCAGTGTGTTTTTAAAGTCAGTATTTGTAATCAAAACTTGAATTCTCAAACAAAAACAGAGTAATATGTCTGCACAGACAAACCACAAAAGCTATATAAAAAATGAAAATGCTGATTGGGTAAGTATTCACCTTGTTAAGTCAGTATTTGGTAGAAGTGTGGTGATCAGTTAGCAAGATCAGAATAATTTATCAACATTTAAAATTAGTAAAAAAAAACAAAAATTAAATCTCTTTAAAACAAAGGGACACACTACTGCTACAACAAAACTAGATGATAGTATGTGAGTGGTTCTAGCCTCATCTTTTCCACTGCTTAAAGATAAAAATCCACTTGACATTAATTTTTCTGTATTAATATTTTATTACTTTTTTAATGATTTCAGTATCTCTTTTACTGCTTTTG